GACGACTGGTAGTTAATTAGTGTTGACCCAAAATTGATGTTATTCAAAAGAAAGTTTTGATCGATAAAAAAGTAGAATAGTTAATTTGAGTGAAATAACTGCTTCAATATATTATAAAATCCACGTACCATATCATACATAAGAATGGCTAATAATATCACAGAGTACAAAGTAAGAAAGTAACGAATCCAGTGTGTATCATTTTTTATTAATTTCATTAGCACATAATTCATACATATGTCTAGTTAAATTTATTTAACGAAAACGTTTTTGTTTATAGATTCCAATGATTTATATAATAAAAGTTTACGTTACCCACTTGAATATTTCTAACTTGAATAGTTAAGACAACCAGATACATATTCTTGCGCAGATAGCAATAACAGAGACTATTGCTACAGTCCACACAATACTGGCCACCTTCATCGATATCGACACCAGCATTAGCCAAGCTCTGTCTAGACATGGTGTTGATTCCACAATCTCAGATGGCATGCTAAGATATATTGCTATTCAATTTACTGTGAGCGAAGTGACTAGAGGGATGGTGGCTAGAGGATGCCCCCACAACGGTGTACTCTCCCTCCTTCTATGTTCCATAGAAGGAGGGAGAGTACACCCTCTATGCAGACGATCTGACTATCCTTATCAGTGGTTCCTTTGAGAGCGTTACATGATACTTGCGATCAAATGAGACTTGCACTGAAGATCGTGGAACAGTGGTGTATAACACACAACTTGACACTGAACCTATCGAAAACAGAGATGATTATGTTCACAAACAGACGTAATCTAGGAAATCTCAGACTTCCCAAGCTATTTGGAACGCAATAACCTCTTACCAAAGAGGTCAAATATCTTGGAGCAATACTGGACAGTAAACTTCTGTGGAATAAGCACCTCGATGAAAAAATAAACAAAGCCTGCATTGTCTTTTGCCAACGGCTACTCTGCAAAAGCTGGGGGACTATCACCAAAGATTAGAGTATGGCTCTACAGGACAGTCATAAGACCCATAATCACTTACGGTGCTATTGTCTGGTGGCAGTAAACAGAGCAAAGCACCGTAAGAAAAAAATTGCATCAATTCCAGCGACCCCTATGCTCTGCGGTCATTGGCTGTATGCGCACGACGCCAACTGCCGCACTGGGGGTGGCCCTTGGTCTGCCACCACCTAATTTGTCCATATAGCAGGAGACCGCTATGGCGATCATCAGACTCAGACGCCTGGGTCTGTGGCATAAAGGTGAGGGATCGCACTCCAAACTATGGGATCAATTAGTGGAATACGAACCACTAATAGCAGCCCCATGCGATAGGATCCCAAAACACCATATCTTTATAAAAAGATACCATATTCAGATACAAGAAAATGACCGAGATCAATCCGGCATTAACAAAGTCCGTATTTACACGGACGGATCCAAGATTAGGTCAGGAACTGGAGCCGGAGTTTTTACTTTTTACTCTGGCTTACTCATATTTATATGAATATATCATTGCGTTAGGCCAACACAGTTCCATATTCCAATGCATATGTGTGGCAATACCTTACGCCTCCACAACGGCCATGTCAAGCATGACAGACAGCATGGCTGTCCAAAGAAGCTTGCCACAACAAATGGGGTGCTCCTCCAATGGATTGAAAGGCATAGTAATTCACACGGGAACGACGCCGCAGATGAGTTGGCAAGGAGGAGCTTGGCAACCTCGGCCACCGGCTCAACCATACTGCTGCCACTGCCTTTTAACCAACTTTGATACTGGGTTAGACAGCGTACTCGTGAAGCACACAACCGAAGGTGGAAAAACTCACCCGGCTGCAGACAGTCCAAACTGGTGTTGACTGAAGTCTCACCACTACTTACTTGCAAACTGATGAGTCTAAGTAGACTAGATATCCGAATAGTTACCATAACATGACACTTAGCCCTGAACCGACAACTATTCACCATTAATGCGACGGAAAGTCCTCTTTGCAGAGGATGTCTGAATTCAGAAGAAACGGCCGCCCACGTACTCCTGGAATGCCAGGGTGTGGCCACACAACAGGCAAGTTTCATTCCTGATACAAAATCGCTCCTAGAAGCCTGTGAACACCCCAGGAGGCTTCTGGAAAGAGCTTGGTTGGCTCACCTAGCCAACCTGACCTCGATGCATAAAAGACCACCTTGAGTCTAAATGCGGAAACCGTAGTCCACAACCGATACCCATACCAATTGCTACAGTCCATAAGAGTTGTTTGGTGCATTTCATATACTACAGCACCTTCAAATATTTACTTAAATTTCTGTCGGGGTCATGTTTCTGACATGGCTCGTACATTCTCTTCTACTACTTATAAATTGCAGGTCGGAAATTTTTAATTTTAATGAAGTAGGCAAAACTTGTTTGATAAAACCTACGAGCACCTAACCCTTGGTTAAGTGGGTTAAGTGCTCGATGGATGAAACGTATCCAGATCGGGGCTTAATTATTTTTTTACTTGGTTTGCATCATGGATTCATTCAGGATGCAGATCTTGTAAACCATGGTTTTCAGCTTCATGAAAGCTCAGATTAAATAGTACTCTACTTCATTTTTTTTATTTAGTTTTCTCAGAAAAGTATGATTTGATGAACAGTATGTTAATGATAATTTAGTATATTATATATATATATATATTTTATATATATTATATATTTATATAACATCTCCGAATAAGTAACATACTAGTTTCGAACCCCTGTAAGTACTTAAGGTATTGTGATAGCTGCTTCGTGAGCCGGATCCCATTACAACCTCAGAGAATTCAAGTTAATATAGTTAAATATACTAACATATATTCCAGAATTTAGTATAGCAAACTAATCTTGAAACAGATTGTCTTTCCTTTTTCTACCTGTTTTACAATAAAATGTTCAAAAAAAAATTACACTCCAAACTTCTCTGTTTTAAAAGTTAGACCGATAAAAAAGTTGGATTTAGGTCACGAAAGCACCTAAATCTAATTTAGATGGACGTGTGTGTTAGAATTCCCACTCCGATGGCCGCCACGCTGCCTCTGCTCAACGTGTGGAGTGCCGTGTCCACGGTCTGGCCATGAAATTGGTGACACCCAGGCGTTGGCTCGTTAGTCGGTTAGAGTCTGACATAACCCCGGTGGGTGGTATCCTAGACGATTTCCGCACAGACAAAGCAAAAAAGGTGGACGTGTGTGTGGCAAAATTTATTATAATCTAATCTTTGTGAAGAAGTCTCTCATATATATATTTGATTATCCAAGATTTCTAAGGACTGCTAAATAAGTATCATTACGTATCTTTGTTCAGAGGTTAATCTTCTTACAGCCTTCACGGTCGAAACAAACCATTTGTACTTAATGACAAGGGTACAGACGTTCTATTATTTATGCATTAAACCTTTTACTGAGGATTTCACCCAAATGATTTATGTAAACGTACATATACTCGTTTTAACTTATGACATGAAACAAAAGCAATATTGCAAAAAAAAACGCTTATTCCAGAGTTGACAAAAATCTTATTTATGTGCTATAAAAGTCTGGCTCTTTACTATTAATCGTGTATGTAAAATCCATTTTTAGATTTAAGATATTATTTGGTTTGATTAAAAGACTGCGCTGAAATCACTCTGCTTTTCAATTCTACTTAAAATGAAATTCAATCTAATAAATATATTTTCTAGTCATATTATAAGTGCAAAATTGTTTTAATTAGGGTAGATGAATGTCATGGCACAAATATAGATTATCATTTGGAATACACATGGTACTTTTTATAGCAGGAACAAATTATTGACAAAATCAATGTTAAAGCAAACAAAACCGCAGGCAAATTGTAGTAATGTTAGGTAGTAGGTAGGTTCACCGTAACCCGTTGTTCATTGTTCTGATATAATAATAATGTAATAAAAATGCTTTTGTTTTACTTATTAAACTCAAATTATCAATTGTAGTAGCCTAATCTAATTCTACGAATTTGTCCATAAGACGTTACTATCTTACAGTAATATCCTAAGAATATTTATAGATATTTTGACTGACCAAAAGTCTTAATCGTTTAGTTATATGAAATATTTATTACATATTTACATTGAAATTACAGACAAACTACAAATTTATAGCAGTTACAAAAATAACTTAGGTAACTAATTTAAAGTCATCATTTGCACAGCTCAGATTATAGCAATAATCACAGAAAGCGACAAACTTTGTATCAAGTTCTTTAAGTACTTAAATAAGTTGGTAATGGAGTCTACACATGTTCCCTCGGTTACTGAGATGTTTCATGTTGAGTTTGTTTATAATGTTTTCGCTGTATTATCCTGCGTTTGGGACTTATAGAAAAAAAAGTGAATGAAAATAAATGTAGGCCAAAACCTGCTTTCTAAGGAGGGGCTTATGTCCAGCAGAGGACTATTAAAGGCTGTTGATGTGATGTGATGATGAAAATAATATGATGTGATCAAAGAATAACAGTTTATAATAAGATACCGACTGACGCTTACAATTTCTTACATCAATAATTATAAAGTATTTTTATAGCCAAATTAGGTAAATAATGTTACTGTATTATTTTAGCTAGAATAACTGTAGAAATAGTTGTTACGATAAATAATACTCTTAGTATAGTGTCAATTTATTTACCTCACATAGTAGAAGCATCTCCAGTTATCACAATAAAATTCGATTCCAGCATAGAGCGCGGTAAAATTCGGTCAAGGCTAAACCTCGACCCGAGCTTTTGTTCGTCCCCTCCGCTACTTCTGCGGCTTATCCTTTGTATGAACTTTTTACTGCCAAGCAATGTGCATTTAACTAGTTGTCTCTATGAACACAATATAAAAGAAGCTTAAACTTCAGAGAGCGAAATTTGTGTTACTGTGACAGCCAATGACAAATTAAAAAGTGTCAATTGGTCACTTTATTGCAGTCCTCTGCTAAACATAGTCAATCAATTCCAAAGATTTCGTTTTAGTAATAGTTGTTTTATTTCAGTACGTTACAGAAAAGATGGGCGGTGCGGAAGGCACGAAATTGGATTTGGACTTCGTCGAAATGGAAAGAGTAAGTATATAAGTAACTATACTTAAATTATACTTAACAATATTAGATATATGTTAAGGCTTAATTTGTAGTAGTATATCGTAGCCAGATTTAAACATTGATTTCATGATGTACTCGGATTACATAACTGCAATTTTTTTATATCAAACTCAATGTACCCACAGCGCCTTGATCTCGGTTGAATAGTTTAAACTAAATAAATAAGATGTTAAATTGTATCTGGGTCTATTTTTCTCGGCTTAGCGACACACATATCATCTAATCGACTGTAAAATAATTTATTATGTCCATTTTTCTAGAAAACAGACGTCACATGTGAGCTTGTGGAAGAATTACAAACGAAGACAAAAGAGTTTCTACAACCAAACCCAACTGCACGAGCGAAGATGGCAGCTGTAAAAGGCATCAGTAAACTTAGTGGACAAGCCAAGAGTAATACTTACCCTCAACCCGAGGGTGTACTTGGTGACTGTATGCTTCATTATGGCAAGAAACTTGGAGAGGATACTGTCTTCTGTAAGTTTGTTTTTATAGGTTGGAACGTATAAAAGAAATTTTATATTGTTTATAAAAGTATCTTAGCATCAAGGATTTTTCCTTACCAAATAATGGTTTCCGTTAACAAAAATGTCAGTCTGCAGAATTTGAGGAATTCCTGTTAACTCAATTTAAATTTTACTATTATGATACATTCTACTTTTTATTAAGCACTCATACTGCTATAGATTTTTTTTAAGGATTTAAGTTATAAAATCTATAATTCGAATTATTTTCTAGCAAATTGTCTGATTGAGATGGGCGAAGCGCTGAAACAAATGGCAGATATTAAATACTCACTCGACGACAACATCAAGCAGAACTTCCTCGAGCCTCTACATCATTTGCAGACCAAAGATCTTAAGGAAGTTATGGTAATGGGATTCGAATTATGTTTTTTGTATGCATGCCTTGGAAGTTAATTGTAGGTAGCTAATTAAAAGATACATTTAATGTTTTAATTTTCTACTTTAAGAATATAATAGTTTATCTTAGAACTTTCATTAATTTTAACACATAAAACACGGATTACTTAAATTTTATTTGTATAATTTATAACCTTCTGAATAGAAACGACAATCCGTCGATTGTGCCATAAAAATGTTTCACTTTTATGCTAAAGCAAGTTATGCATTTCTCATATCATATCTTCAATTGTGTTCGGTAGGTTTATCATCAAAGATATTTTCTTATCTACGTGACTAATTAATGTTTAGCCATAATTTATTAACTAAGAAGAAAGTTTGCCATACATTGTGAATCGAATTTCGTGGCAATTCTCTTTTACAGCATCACCGAAAGAAACTACAGGGACGACGATTGGACTTCGACTGCAAACGACGTAGGCAGGCTAAAGGTGATTATCATCTCATACTGTCTTAAATGACTTTTCTTTTTGTTGGTTTATTGAAATGTTTTGTTACTTTCTTGTCTACTTCAATCTCTTAAGTTCTTATTTTCTTTTTTCCAAATGTATTGGCCAGGCCCCGGTAGGGCCAGCCCTTACATGAGCCCAAGTCACAACACTACAAGACAGGGTATGTAGGGAATACAAAATCCTAACTAATAACACAATAGGCCTGTAGTGCAAAGCTAACACGCGTTTTGAAGCCTCATTAGATTGTATACAAAGTATAACATGCGCTCGTTTCTTTCATGTTTTTGTTCCTGTCCTGCGTCCGCGTCGCCATTACCATCATTCATAACCTGAGTATTATTTCAACGTTTGGTTTGTATGCACATAATGTTTGTTTGTTTTTTTATTCATTTTTTGTATTATTTTTTTTGTGTATTTTTGTACGCGTTTGCGTGCTCCTTTGCCTACGGCACATTTGTGAAGCATCCATACATCAGGTGCTCATATTGCAGACGATGAGATACGACAGGCGGAGGACAAATTCGCAGAGTCCCTTCAGCTCGCCCAAATTGGAATGTTCAATCTACTTGACAACGATGTAAGTAAAAGCGTAGATCGCAGTTGCACGTACATATAACAACTATTTTAAAATTTAAACTCATTTTCTTGTTACATCAGTTACAAATAGTAGTAATTAAATATAGCATTGATGTAACTGGCGGTGTGCATTCATGCAAATGTTGTATGACCTTATGGTTATTTATAGGTTGAACAAGTAGCACAGCTCACGTACTTCGCAGAGGGACTATTAGAATATCACCAGCAATGTACGGAGATCCTCAAAGGACTGGTCTCTGCGCTCATGGAAAAGTAAGTGTCCAATTCTTTTTTCTCCATGATTGTTTTCTGTTATAAAATAGGTTTTTTTTCGTTTTATTTTCACTTACTGTTTTTCTTTATAAAGATACAATTCGGTTTCAATATAAAAAAATTGAATGTTATATATATGTTTAAATAATATTTTCTAAATATGAATCCCCCAGGTCTTCGCTCGAGTTAACTGCGTTTTTCCTAATCCTAATGTCGAGCAGTTCATATCTTATTCCGGACTAAAATCTGTCTGTGTACCAAATTTCATCCCATTCCGTTTAACTTTATCCATCCAAACTATTACGTTTATAATATTAGTATAGATATAAAAAATATATATCTTATTTAGGTACAACACAAATGTTTACATTTTCAGGAAAGAAGAAGCAGTAAATCGTCCCAAGATGGAGTTTGTACCGAAAACCCTAGCTGACATTCACATCGAGGGCCTCCACGATCTGAACAATGGTAGGCGGTACGGTTCCACCCAAAGTTTGTCCCGTCCCCGTCAACACATCCCCCCTTCCTCGTCTGTCGGCGACCTTAGTTCTACAGACCCTTTCAAGGCTTGGGATGCACCCCCTCCTAGTCGTACCCATGCTAAACCTGCGCCGGGGTTCAAACCGCACCCGGCGCCAAGAAATCAATTCAATGGAAGGGATCCCTGGACAGGTGATTTAGGTTTTATTTGCTGTATATTTTCTGTTTGGTTTTGGTTGTGGATTGTCTACAAGTGGTGGTGAAATTTTAGGGCTAGGCTCGCATTATTACCTACTAGTACAAAATATACATTTTATATGAACATAGTTCCAATATATAATCTTATCATTATGTATGTACATTGACGGTAAGAATTGAGTCGTTATATTTATAGTCACATCTTGGTTTAGGTTAAATTACTAGGTTATAAGGTAGACAATGCATATGGCATAATGCCGCCTCTGTATATCTAGTAAAAAGTATACTACATAGTATATAAGATTTAATTTATAAGTACTAATGTCGTATATAGGAATTAAATTAAAAGCTTAAAACGCCAAGCTAGAAACAATAATTCTATCCGGCAACACACGAATTGTAGGACAGTACCTACTCTTTGTTAGCAGCTCTTAAAGTTTTTCGTGTCAGTTGTTCTATATGTGGTGTGGTTGTTGCTGTATTTTTTGATTATTGTCGTACTCCCTAACCTCTTACAGTCACTGTACAATCGCGAGAGTATGTTTGTAATGCGGGTCGAGCCCAAAGGTGGAGGGTATTAAAAGCGAGCAGTCAGTGGTTGAAATCCTTTATGCACCATTTCATGGTTTCACAAACATCCCTCACGCTTTAAGGCACATACGTTTTCATAGCACAGAATTGAAAGTTCAATGTGGAGTAACAAAACATATTCATATACACAACTAATAACCTTGATATAAAAATATTTTAGTACTACTGGATACAGCTTAGCAGGTTTTCGTTTCATAATTATTTTTCTATGGTTTGATTTATTGTAAAACGTTTAAATGTACATAGACACAAATGCCTAAGGTAGTAAGTCTGTTCTACATATACTTAAATAGACTTAGGTTGTAAACACTAGTGAAGTTCCCAATATATTTTGTAACTTTTAACGACTTGCAAAATATTGAAATAAACAACCTTTTCCTGGAACTAAAATCATCATGTCATGGGCTTGGTCATGGTCCTTAAAAAAGTTATAAATAAAATATTTAGAAACGTGACTAACATTTTATAACATATAATATGTCTTATTAAAAGGTAGCAGTCAAACTGGTTTCTATAAAAATATTTATTTGCAAAGGTGTATAAAAGTAACAAAATTTGCTAGCAATATTTATCTCGATTTACCTGGCATGACAATAGAAATTAGAAACAAGTTTTAGGACATCATGTTATGATACTCTGCCGAACAACTAGTTAGTAGTAGTTAGTACTTGTTAGGTATCATCCGATTCTCTTTTATTGATTGCTATTGTCGAACTTAATTGTCATCAATAATAAAAATTATTTTAGATCTCAATTTTTCTAGAAATATTATATTGTCAGATATTGGTAACAGTAAAGTTATTATATTATAAAATATTTTGAAAAGCACCCCACTCTTTTTTACCATTAAATGATATTTCTTTTTGAAGTCACAGAAAATTATTTTCTACTTTTTTAAACTATAATTTATCTTTGCTGTTTTGGTCATTAATGACGATTATTTTCTCATTCAGAATAAAAAGTAACAAGTAAGTAAGTCACATGCTTCAGCAACCGTCTAGTACGTAGCAAAAGACACTACCGTTTATGAGGATAATGGGTCAAAATTATCAAATTATTGTATTGTCATTGGTCCTTGATAAGTGTGCTAAGTTTTAATTTAATTCGACGTTCTAAAGTGGGTGAAAATTGCGTTGAAAGATTCCGTTACATAGATACATACATATATACAGGTCAAGCTAATAAAAGCGTGTTAAAAAAATGACAAACGCCATGCGAATGCGAAAGTGAGTTTGTTTGTTTGCTTAGCGGTCCTGTTGGTCTAGTGCTTAGTGATTCTGACCGTTAACCAAGAGGTCGTGGAGTTTTATTACTCTTTCACTTCTTAACTTCTTTACTGATCGTCGTTAAATGCATACACTTTGCTAAGTTCACAAAAAAGGACATATATGATAGGCACCTTATCCAAAAAGTCTAAATTAATAGTACTTTTATCTAAATGGCCATTGAAAGCCCTTCGACTTTATATTTTACTGTCTACTAAAATGATTTTCATAGTTAAATCGAGATTTGCACTTATTGAAATATTATTAGTTGGGACGAGTTGGTTTAAATGTAAATATTATATCTAGTAGAAAAACCGCTAAACATCTTGACAAATAACTGGAAAAATTGTAATAATATGACTAGATTTTTTTTTTTGTATTTGGTGAAATTTGCAAGACGCGGAACAGAGGAGCATAATTTAATTTGCGATATTCCTCCATCACACTTGACTCTCTAAGCGCAATGTCATTATAGTATGGTAGAAAATCTAGAAAATACGGCGAAAGTGAATCGCACCGACTAAAACACAAACCAGTTCTAGAGTTATAATTCTAGAACTGGTTAACGTAATTGAGAAAAGAATACCTGTAAGTTATTATCTCCCGTTTCGCCAACAAGTCTCGGTTCGTCCCGGTAACACTTATTGACTATCTCATCTCACAACCTAATCGGACGATGAGAGAGCTGGAATAAAGAGCGAGTCAAGTCAATCGAGTCGAGTCGAGTCAAGTCAATCTCAGCATAAATATGCAGCGAAAGTACTTGCGTGAGCTATTAGATCGTCATGTTTTTTTTGAAGCATTAGCTCGACTTCTACTATTAATTAACGTTTTTTTGCATGCATATATATTTAAAGTTCAAGATGTTTGCCGGTTACTATATCTAATAACTTTGACACAATAGACTTTGATCTACATCTATTTTAGTAATAAACTAGGCATTTAACATTTCGTTAAATTTATTTCAGCTTTTTTTAATTATGTTAATAACAATCAGGGTGCACCCAGTGGCGGGGTACGATGTACAGTTGTATTGTAACCATTTCTTACAGGTTGCCGAAAATCCTATTCCCACTTCCTCTACCCCCACCACAATTTAGAATAAATCTTACATTGTTACCCGTTGTTCCTATTAATCGCTGTGTGACTTTTATTAGTGTTGCCATATCTATTTGACATACTTAAAAAGTTCGTGAAAGTTTTTAAACTTCTTTGGGTTCGTTTTTGTAAAAGTTGGCATTGTATATATTATATGTTTGGCCATGGATTACCAAGTTTAGAAACGAAAACATACCCAAAGTGTGGCAAAAATACCTAGCAGAGTGAAATAGTACCTTAGGTCTGGCAACACCAACTGCAATGGTTAATGTTTTCTTCATGTTTATAAATTTTACTTTATAACCTGTTAAATGTATGTCTAGCAATTATATATACGTTTCTGTTAGGGCAATAATTGTCGTTATCTTTCTGTCTTCAAGTAGCCTATATTGATGTCTCTTCTATCTTTTTAAAGACGTTCGATGTTCAGTCCTTTGCAAACGAACAGTTAGACATGCACATCGCATAAATCGAGAAACATCTACACTACCTTTTTTAATATTTATTTTATAAAAACAACACTAAGCTAGTATATAATTCAATTAACTATCCATTCAATTTTATCTAAAAATAGTGGTTTGATGACTTTCTAGAAATATTTTGTAAAAATATGTCGTAAGTGCATTACACAGAATGTACATTTCAAATGTTTAATCCAAATCTATCGACGACCTATCATAGCTTAACGTAAACAATGACATATAGTATTGATATATCTTGTCGTCACGAAGCTGGTTCGAACGCTGGCTCGCCGGAACACAAGCCCCCGTCGAACCTGGAACTGTTCCCCGGCGGCAGCTCTGGCAACTCGCAGCGCTCCACCAACGGTAACACGCGGACATACACACCGTCACACCAGCTCACATGCTATTGAAAGATTGCATCTTTTATAAAAGGGTCATAGAAATAAGTAATAATACCTAAATACGTACAGTTAGTATTTCACTCGTTTATAAAGAAGGATCTTGATCAGATATTAGATCAGATTTTATTTATTCAATATTGTGAATTGTATAGTTTAATTACCTAGCGATACTCAAAACGCGCTGTTAAGTGACGTTGATGTTTTGCTGGGCATTTAATGAACTAAAACCATTATTACCTGTTTATAAGTAAAGATATTTTATTAGCACTTACATATAAATACATCTGATGCAATCTATCATAAGAACACACAGTGCACGATATAAATACATGCTAAATGCCGATAAATGCGAAATAGTTTTTAGAGACGCTTTAAATTTTATCAATTCGTGTTACACAAAAGCTTTTACTTAAACAGAACACACATGCGTTGGTAGAAGTTTTTCTTTTGCTTTCACGTTTTTTTTTAGCTTGTGAGGTTTCGTTTTTTTTAACTCGTCCAAGTATTTAATTTTTTGCTAAATACTTACATAGGCTATCGTCTGAGAGGAACTTGACAACTCAATGTGACAAGTCTTTAACGGACACATAAGACATTGCGGTGCATGTCAAATTCATAGGCACATTAGTTAGTGGAAAAATTGTGACATAATGAATGTTAATTTACGAGTATAATGGCATGTTGTAGCGCTTATGCCTTTCCTTGCAAAGGCTAAAAATTACGATGAATTATAAACATTTTTCAGTCAGCTACTTAAGTCACTTAATGTGCTAGAAAGTGTGTTATGCAAATAAATGTATTTTAATTGTAATAATGATCAAAACCCGTGAGTTACAATTTTCGTATGTATAGTGACATTGGTTGCTGGCTACTACTTCAACGAATATATCATTGTCATATCCTGTTCATATATTCATTTATATGTACTTTATAGAGTCTCAAACATTCATATCATTTTACGTACCAACGACGGAAAGTGGGGTACTTTCACATCCAATCTCATCATATACCAATACTTAATAATTACCATTAGGGAGTTTGCTCACTATATATTCTTGGTTACCCAGTTACTCACGCCCTGATATGTGTTCTATTGAAATGGGTCATTGTAATATGAATTTATTTTGTGGTCAGGTTAAGGGCATTTTCGTAAATAGCTATTTTCATGCCACGCCGAAAGTTTTGTATAGAGCAGTGATAGATCAAATTATTTACTTATGATGAGTAAATATGGTATAAAATTGTATTATCAAATCAATCTAATTTCTGGATGCATTAACAACCAATACACAACGCAAATCAACTTTAAAGCTTTAGCTATGCTTATTTGTAATTGTTAAACTTAGCGATACCGCTTATCATGCTTTTGAACCTTTTGAATTGTGTTGTGTTTGTTGAACTTTTGTGTATTTTCTTTGTTTTACGTCACAGTAACGTCACATAAAACAAAAAAAATGTGGTATGAAGTAATACAATTCTTATTATAAACAAAAGTTCCATGCATCTCCGATGTATTAGTTTCTGTGTAGTGCGCAAACTCTCTCATTTATGTAGATACTACGAGACGTTTTTTAATTGGCCTTGTATTTCTACAACAACTTTAAATACTTTACTTTTGCACATTATTGGCTTATAATAAAATACAAATTTATTGAGCACGATATGTCAATTATTTTAATTACTTCAAATATTAGACGCTAGTTGGAATACCACGTAGTATCTACTTAGGGTCTTTTTTCTATCAAGCGTATTTCATTCTATAAATATTCTGTGTAAATAAGTATTAACGTAAGGAATTTAATATCGCAAAGACCAATGTATACTTTGAAAATCTTTAACTTCTCTGACTTACAATAATACTACTTGTTATTAACGAGTTTTTCTACATTAGTCAATTCATTTACTTGGCATGCTACACGCTTGACAGGATAAGACTCAAATTTCAACAGTTTCTGATCTTTTACTGAAGTGTAGTGTTCCACAGCATCCCCGTTGCCATCACCAGTTAAGTCGCCTGCCCGAACCCCAATGGCGCCTCCCAAGGGACCATGCTGCACTGCTCTCTATGACTTCGAGCCAGAGAATCCAGGCGAACTAGGATTCAAGGTAAAATCACTTCTGATAAATATGTACTCAGCACTCACAGTACTGGAGTTCTTTATGTTAATATCCTATACTCTAGTAATAAAACAACGTTCTTAAGTCTTACTCAAGCTCATATAAATGATATACTTGGTTGCAGGAGAACGACGTCATTACCCTGATCAACAAAGTTGACGAGAATTGGTTCGAAGGTTCAGTCAACGGCAAGACCGGTTATTTCCCGATCAGCTATGTTCAGATCACCGTGCCCTTACCTAACATGTAAACAAATACCCATCCCCCACCACGTACGTATTCATTATCCCTACGCCCCGAATGTGTAAGTTGTAACACAACTTTCTATGGTGATGTGTCTAAAATGTTCAGTTGAACTGCCTTCAATCTACCGCTCGCTTCTTATAGCCCTTTTGGTATTAAGATTTTGGTTACACAGTGACGCTTGAGAACGAGTGTCTGCTTTGAGTGCTTTTTATCATTGCAAACACAAGTCCTTGAGTAAAGTAGGGAATGCCACAATAGGCTAAATGAGTTTAGATGCTTATCCTGCCTTTCCCTTCAGCATGCTTTTGTTGTACTGAATCTCAAGTTTAAGAAGAACTATTAAAATTTATATTTTAATCTGAAGGTTGTGTTACACTGACTCATTCCTTCCGATATTACGCTACGCAGTATTACGTAGATCAGTTATTTGCGTCGAAAGCTCAATGGCAGATGTAATATATGTAACAATTTCAAAACATTTTTGAATGTATAAAATAATTTTATGAATTATGCAGTTTTATCGGTTTAAATTTGTCTTCCGCAAATTTACTCTTCCTATTCTTCAAACTCAGGCATTGAACAATTTTATTAGTTAACATTATTTTATTTAGCTATAATACTCAAACTAAATGATACATGTTCATGTTCAAAAAGGCAAATTTAATTCTTTAGTTAATATCACATCAAAGAGATAATGGTATAAAAATTTATAATATAATTATGATGTATTTACCTGCTAGCTGCTTTTTGCGTTTATTGCCAAAATGAGTATTAATTTAAGGTTTAAATGATTGTAATAACAGATTATTATAATCAAGTTGCCATTATACTACATGACGATTTATTATGAGTTAGGAGTAAATTACTATTATTTTATGTGTAGGTGTTTTAGTTTTAAAGATACACGCCAAATATGCCAATATCGTTCGGAGTAGCTGTACTCAGCATCAAATGGTTAGAGAATGAGAACATTTTTTCAGACTTAATGCCATTCTAAACTAAAGTAAATACTAACTTGCGTGAGTATCAATTAAATGCCCGACGACAGGATGGCATGACGTAAATGGACATGAGTTTGGTAATTTTAAGCAAAGTGATAGGTCATTGTCAATCGCAGTATATTATTGCTGAATGCTCTGGCGTGATGCAACAAAAATGTGTGAGGTGATATTTTAAAACATCCATTTGTATATTAGTTGAATATCAGGCATCTATTTTGTAGATGCGTAAAACTTGTATAGTATTCTCCCTTGACGTATAATTACTTTATTTAGTTTACTGTGTGTCATTTTTTTTTTTACCGTACATTTAAGGTACAGGAGCGTTACATTAATCTTTATTAGAACTGTATACCTAAACTGTGCGATTAGATTTTATAGTTGTATGTTCGAGAGTAATTATTTAAATAAATGGATAAGGTATACAATGTAACGTATATGATATAATAAATGTGGGAAATGTGGGACGGAGTCAATAAAGTTGTTGAGATATTGCCAGAAATATTTGGCATTTGGATGTTCGATGTATTATTGGCAAGCTAAAACATATTATAATGTAATTGTGATAACTATAGATATCATACTATTGGTGCGGTGTCCTACCATTTGTTTTAGGTATGTTTACATTGTTAAATTTATTCACACTCATTTATTTTAACGACAATTCGCATAATAGTCCTTTAGTCATTACATTAACTAAGCTACCTATTTTAACTATGTTTTAATGGTTATGATTGATACCAAAAATATGTAAATTAGTAACAGTACATGGCCTCTACGCAATAGTAATGTTAAATGTGCTTTGTTAATGCACTTGTGTATTAAGTTCTTAAATCGTCATATGCACTTTGTCCATTTTCAATCGATGTTGCAGTAATATTGAACATAAGTAATTTAAATTTAATTCATCGCATCATTATTGTAGTCAATGGACCCCATCGAATCACATTTCTGGCATACAAAAGACAATACCTAGATCTAATGTTAGTTGTATGTAAGTTCATAAATAATTGTTCTATCTTCAAGTGTCTCGTTAGTATAAGTATTTTGAGATTATAATATGTATTCATCAATGTTACGAAAATCATGTTTGAATGTTTAATGTGAGGTAAATAAATGCACACAAAGCGTCTGTATTCTTATTAAATTCTGAATATACATACCATAGTAATGTCAAATTCAGAGTGGAGTTAGACTGTTGTTGTTTTAAATGTGTAATAATTATATTAGCTTGGTAATTTTCGAGTGATTGGATTGAGGGATGTAAAACCGTTTCAGAGTGCGTCGAGTCATTCTTATAGCAATGGATTAAGATTTACTTTTTCAAACCTGTGTCACAATTTGCACAGGTTTGAGAAAAAAAATCATTGTTGAACGTACTATGCCCGTTGCAAAGAATAGTCTCATTGGGCATATTGGGTTATTTTTAAGTTTATTGCCTTGTACCGTGTTAATTCAGTGTTGCTTCACCAAAGTGAATAAGTATTGGTTCGAAACTGGTAATGATACTTGTACAACAGGAATGTTTTATTATCTATGTATATCTAGTGCTTTAGGATAAGTAAACAATGTTTCTTCATCTTTTAAAGAATTTGTTAGAAACTCATATCTCTATATTATTCCCATTAATTTTTAGATGTTGAAAAATAACTGCAGATCCAAGAGAGAGGGATGGCTAGGATTCGTGACTGATAATATAATTTTTGGACTTTTTTTCTATTTAAACAATGCAAGAAACAAGAACATCAACGGCCGATAGGCTCTTTTTTCCTTTTTATTCTTGGCATAATCAAAGCCAACTTATTCTATTTGAATAAGTAACTCGATTTACTAAGTTTTAAAACAGCAATTCCTCTATGTTTAACGTTGTATTTTTGATATTTGAAATTCAAAAATATTAATTTTGATGTCACAACTCTTATCTCTCCCTCTGACTCACAATCTGGATCGCCATTTATAAATAACAAGTAACATTACCTTCAAAAGGTAATATTATGTGTACGCATAGTTATATTGTGGATAGTTAGGTATGTGTCAAGTATCACTGTCGTTATTGATATAAATATTTTGCTATTGATGCGAATACCTATGTACGTCTGTTATGGTGTACCTATTATTCTTGTTCATGTTACTGTAATCTTAAAATACTGTAATTTCATAGATTTTAACTTGACGATTTACGAGATGTAATGCAAATATTATTGATTTGTATTAAAATTTATCCCGAAACTTATTGCTCGTTTTCGCCTCCTAATAAAATGTTAACAATTAAACACTTATTATGGTTTTATTTCAACTTTTGCCAATGCTTATTTGAATTTCTGGCATTCCTTATTCATTAGCTCAATTTTGAAGTACCTAAGTAGAACCGAACGGTTTACGATAAGCGACACTTACTTATATGCCTTCTTTGTACTGGTTTATAATTTGGACTACCTACACCCGATATTCATATATGGGGTGTAGGTTAAAGTGAAGAATATATAAATGTTGATAAAAATGAAGAATGACCTCAAAGGGAAAATTTATATATTCTTCACATCAAAATTTAGCCAAACTACAACAAATTTACAATTAAATGCGAAACAAAGATGCCACCTAGTTTTAAGTTACAAAAAAGTACAAAAAAGTGTTTTAATAGTAGATACTTTGTTTTGATAAAGGTGCGTACGAGCATTTTCTAAAAAAAGTTCATGTTAACCCATTAGTGGCGTATTCCGATATTTAGTGTTGATTTATTATAAATAAAACCATAGGTTTTATTTCAAATTTTGCCAATGCTTATTTGAATTTCTGGCATTCCTTATTCATTAGCTCAATTTTGAAGTACCTAAGTAGAACCGAACGGTTTACGATAAGCGACACTTACTTATATGCCTTCTTTGTACTGGTTTATAATTTGGACTACCTACACCCGATATTCATATATGGGGTGTAGGTTAAAGTGAAGAATATATAAATGTTGATAAAAATGAAGAATGACCTCAAAGGGAAAATTTATATATTCTTCACATCAAAATTTAGCCAAACTACAACAAATTTACAATTAAATGCGAAACGAAGATGCCACCTAGTTTTAAGTTACAAAAAAGTACAAAAAAGTGTTTTAATAGTAGATACTTTGTTTTGATAAAGGTGCGTACGAGCATTTTCTAAAAAAAGTTCATGTTAACCCATTAGTGGCGTATTCCGATATTTAGTGTTGATTTATTATGACTTTGGACGCTGCGATCCAGTACCAACAGCATCCTGTGCGATACATTTTGTTAGAATTTAGGTATATATTTATGTCAGTCCCTCAGTATTATTAAACCGTCACAGTGACGGATTAATAATACCGAGTATCACCACCTCTATTCATCCGATGTCGAAATAGCCGACTAAAGGAGCAAATCACGCTGGACGACAGCACTGCAAAGAGAAGGAAAACTTGACACAAACCCTTTTTTTTTTTTAACGTGTGGAAATCCCCTCGGACCGTCACCCCACCGGGGTTTGCGGCGGGGTGGTGTATCGGACTCGGACCGACTAAAACCACACGGTGTGCCACTCTGCGCCTGTAACAGGAGGGATCCGGGAACAGCTGTTATTAAGACATAGCGCCAGCCCGCTCCTGGTGCGGGCTCCGTCTCAAAATTTTCCTCTCTTTAGGCGACGTCCGGCACACGCGGACGCCGCCCCCTCGCGGCTGGCCAAACTAATGCGGGTGGAGGGGAAACCCACCCCGTCCTCCCGCGGCCACACTCAGGGCGGCATGAGGCGGTGATAAGCGCGCCTCCGCCGCCCGGTTCGCCGGCGGCGGATCGGGTCCGAGTGGAGGTCTTCTTCTGCGAGATTACTTCCTCGCAGAAGGTTGCGACCGCGGTAAAACAACTGTCGCTACCGGCCATGGAGCGTACTACGGCCGGTAGCGAGAGATCCACTCCGATGACTGCAGTGAGGGCCCAGCGATGCGTCGCCCATGCGGGGCAGACCGCCAGCGTGTGCTGGGCTGAGTCCTCACTGC